TCCTGCTGCCCTATCCCGACTCCTTGCTTGATTTCCCATCTTTCGTTCCATCCTGTCCTATCGCTATTCTCTTTATTACTCTTCTTTTTGTAATAAAAGATGTTCTGGGAGTGCGGCATGTGACCTCGTTTGTGTCTTAATCTCACTCTTGGGATCATATCGAAACCTTCCCCGACATCAGATCGGGATATTTAAATGATCTCGACATCAGATCGGGACAATGGTAGACAGTTATATCCCAGTCCCCAGCTTATACTCTATTAATGGACAGCTATTCCTATCTTAATTAATTTGTCTTTAAAAAGCAGGGTTTATTAGCATTAGCGCAAAGGCCTTGAGCTACAGTGTTTAAACTGCTTTCAAACTGGAGCCAGCTGCAGAAGAAGACATGGTGGCCACAGGCTATGTAAGCGTAGCTGCACAAAGGCACCTGGGGGACATGGAGAAAGGGCATGCCCAGACCCAAGGAGACCACTACATACCACACTGTAGGCTAGAGATCATTTTACAGCTCTACCATCTGTTTGCACCACAGCCATTCAAAAGAATGGCAAGGGTTCAAAAAAGGTAGGTGCTAGGTACTCCCATTACCTAGAGCAATGTTTTGAAGTTTAAAACACCCACAGCACCAAAAGGACAGTATCATCTCAGACAACATATGAAATTCAGCACTTAGATTTCTCACAAAAGCCTCTTAAGTGCCTAGAAGCAGCAACACCAGCATATTTCACTGTCATTAGAACTTAATATTTCATAAAAACATTTTACCATCTGCTGAGTGCTGATGTTTCACAACTCGGTGAAATGCAGCAGCCAGAGAAGTCTGGTCAGTTGCATGTGAAATAATTATTTTCATATTTTACCTTCTGAAACTCATCCATTTCCTATAGTATTCCGTATGTCTGAAAAGGAAAAAAAAAAAAAAAAACAAAAAAAACCCCTGCAAATGTTGCTTGCTGGAACATCTGACACAACCACAAGGATGAGAGGGGTTAGACAATAGACTCCCTAAGCATCCTGTGGTAGCTTAGAGGATTTATGCCAGAAAAAGGAGAAAAAACAGATTAGGAGGCCTTGAGAGTAATTCTTCAAGGGGGGGGCTAGCTAGTTAGTCTTATCCTGCATTGCTCCAGAAAGAGGATCATCAGATAGCCTGTCTGAGGCAATGAGATGGAAGATTTGTCTGTAGAAAGCATGAGCCAGTCAGTGCACACAGACATAGAAACTTCTCCTTATCGAGGAGAGGAGATCTCATACAGTGGGACTCTTTCCTCACTGAAAAACAAGAATTTTGATCCAGCAGCAAGACTAGCCCCAGATAACAAGAGTCAGTTGAAAGGAAGAGATGGATTGGAGGCAACTGAGATCCATCAGGGTACCCCATATGTCCTGGGCCTAAGAGAACCAGAGATATCAAAAATTTCTACTGCTACAAGAACAGAGATGTTTGACTTTTTACTTCTCCCTTTCAAGCAAAATAATTACTTATTTTTCTGAACAAAATGACATTAAAGTTCTAAAGAAAATAGGAGAGCAAACTGCCAAGCTGTCCTGTCTTAGAGACAGGATTTCTGTAAGTCTCATGTAAAATACAACCTAGTTCTCCAAAAAAGGCAAACTCACTTCTCATGTACACCTGATCTAAGGGTAGGGAGCCATTGATTTTGAAAGAGGAGAGGAACTACTGCCAACCAGCAGTGTCTGTGCAGAAACAACTATTAGACACAGATAACAGCATTTTGGAAATCTAGATATTAGCCACTTCAGAATTAAAAGCACTGTACATATTGTAGTAAAAAGCAAACCCAGGTTCAATTTATTGTTTCACAAAATAACTAGACCAGCTCTAGCCCCTAAACAGAGAGCTAAGATGCCCTCATGAAGTACCATTTCCCAGTCACAAATGTAGGAAAAGAACAGAAACAGAGAGTAGAATATCTCCCATTCCATGGCAATCCCATTCTGCCACTTGCAAGAAAATCCAAAGGTGAAAGACCAACAGCTTCATAATCTCACCCTCATAATAGACTCCCTCTGGGTCAGCCAAAAGCACCAGGCTCTGGAAATCCAAGTTCATGCACACTCCTTAAAAGTTTGTTGAGGAATTCTTGGCAAGCAGTCCATGCAAATTATTAGAGATATTTTATATATCTTGTAGACAAATACAGAGAAGAACAAAATTCCAGGTGAGTACAGCCTCCTCTACAAAGAATCACCCAAGGTAACAAAGTTAAATCACACCATGACTTCTGCAGACATAAAATGGGCAACAGCAGAGTTTGGGTAAGTCAGCAGAGTGTGAAAGCTCAGCTAAGCCCCACCCTTCTGCAGGGCATTACATCTATTATCTTCAATGAGAAGAGGTCCTCAGGAATTTTTCTTTCCCTCAAGAGCAACCATGAAAATCTAATGTTCTGAAATTAATGCACTTGTCTAACCTTTGGTAACAAGGGAAAGGGACCAATGCTTGGTCATACATATAAGAAGCCATACTATGAGAATATGCATACATTTGTTTCAAGAAAAGCAGAAGAGAAATATTTGAGACTGATTGATTTTATTCACATATTGGATTATTCAGAAAAAAATAAGAAAGCCAAGAATGAATCTATGGTAGAAAATCAAAGTGAAGTAAGTTCTTGTAAGTCTATGTTATTTGAGACCTAAATGCTTTTTTGAATTTTCTATAAGCAGGATAAATGCAAGCAAATGCATCAAAACATTTTGACATTAGTGTGTCATATCCAGCGTTATTTCATTAAAATCTCTGAAGTATTGTTTTATTTTATTTGTTATTTTATTGATTTAAGAAGTGCACATTTTGGTGTTTTAAACAATATGCTGTTGGCTAACAAGTTTCTCAGTACTCAACATTATATTGGATCAACTGAGAAATAGTTCTAATTTTATTTTCACTATGAAGTTACTAGACAATAACTTCACAATCAAGTATTTCTTTCAAATGAAACATGGAAACTGAGTAGGTATGTAAAGCTTTCCCATTCAATCCATTTTCACCATCACACTGCCAGTGTAACTGAAGAATTAAAGTAATTCAAGTGTCTCTCCACTAGGAAAACTCTATACACAAGAATCCACATTCTTCTTGAGTTTCAAATCTATTTTTATTGCCTCCACAGCCCCCATACCAGAACTGACCACACATTTTCTGCTCTTTGTCGTAGTACCACTTCAGAACATAATTCTGACATTCTCCACTATCTTGAACAAGGTCACATGCATCTGGAAAAGCAAAATAAGAGATGGATTTAACAATAGAAAGATCCACCCTTCTCAGCATTGTAATTTCAGGGAAAAGTAACATTCAGTGCAAAGTGGTAGATGAAAAAGGTAGCCAGTGTTCAAGGTCTTACAAGGATTCATTAAGTAGTCATCCACAAACCCACAGTGTCAGTGTGGTCTAAAGCCCCTCTTCTTATGGTTGATTTACCCAGAAAGAATGTCTGAAACAACTAGATTTTCAATAACATAAACAGAAGAAATGTTAAAAGGTCACTAGTCTTCTAACATAGACTCTTTACTAAAGTGATGGTGAAATGATTGTATCTGGTCTATAGGAAATAGGTAAAGCTTTTCAGAATGTCCCTCTTCTTTATTCCAACTTGTTATACTGGTATCCATCAGTAAAATTTCATAAATGAACATACATAGATAGTTAAATTATCCATGATAGTCCCTTAGTCAAATCCCAGAATAATATAGATTAAAATTGCATAAAATAGCTCAAAAGTGAGAGTAGCATACTTTGTAGCAATCTGGTACTCAGTAAGTACAGATCAAATCAGCTTTCACCAATGCAAATTCAGAATTACTCTAATGAAATCAGAAGAGCAGCTCTAGACTTTGGTATCTGTATGACATCAAAGAGGAAGCACCAAGAAGTAAAGCAAAATACTGATAAAATTACCCAACCTAAAGATATAAAATAACTTTCTCCTCCTAATCAGCTGAAAACCAATAATCTCAAGCAATAGATCAGTACAAAGTACACCTCTCAGAAGGCAAGTTCTGGAACTGTATTACATATCTTTAGAAGTAAACCATTGGGTCAGTAACTACAACTCAGGACTAGGAATGGCAGTTCATCAGTTGCCCATAAGCAGCTTAGGTCACTGCTCACAATGTCGGTGACCCTGACTACTTCCTCACAGAAAATATTTTATTCGTAAAGTACAAACAGTAACATATCTTCATGCTACTGAATTTTCTGTGTAATCACAGAGTTTGTGAACTGGTTAATGGGAGGACGGATTCAAGATTGTACACATGCAGTTAGGCAATGGGACTACTTCCATCTGTGCTGAGCAAGTCTGTCACTCATTGTGCATGAATAGCATTCCTATAGGTATATTAGCTCTTAATTAAAGATCCAATATTAAAACAGTTTTGCAAAAGCAAAACTTGCTACCAGACATTCCCAGAATAAGTTTTGAATGGAGAAGGATGAAACACAAAGAGGTGGCAGCTGTAGCAAGAAGCCACCACACCTGAAGCTATGCAGACACCATTGCATTTTTTTCTACAGAAATTCTCTCCAATTGTAGTCTAAACAATTAAAACACTCAACAGTGTTAAAAGAATGTTGGTGACAAATTATCTCACAATTAGCATCCCATACCTATTGTATCAAACGGCAAATCTGCAAAGAAAAATGCATAATTAGGAAGCAAAATAAAAACCATGAAGAATATATATTTTGATAGTCTATCTCTGCTGAGGGATTCTTTTCTTCCTACAGGAACAGACTGTAGCAGACACATATTTAGTTCCTCCATGTTGAGCTAAGGTAGCAGCAGGAATGACTCAGTAATTATATTGCAACTTGGGAATTTAAAATCATCAGCTCTTTTAGTAAAGGGGATCAGAACTTTATATTATGTTATTAGGAAAAGTTAAAAATCAAAGCTAAAGTCATAATGACACCTTCAGTTCAGCCTTTAATTACAAATTCTTACTGTATAGATTTGGACTGAATACAAACATATGGTGACAAAACACTATGAAAAATGTAATTAATGGAAATGCTTCATACTATGTAAATAATCAACCAAGCCCTTAACAATTTAGAGGTTTTTTACTGAATTAAAAAAGATTTTCATAGTCTAAAATCATACCATAATCACTATAGGCAGCTCTAGTTTCTACTGTTGCCTCTAAGTTTTCTTTGTTCTCCTCCTGAGCTTCTCCATATTCTTGTGGCTTTTTTCCTTCAGCATCTTCCCCTGTAAAATACTCATTCTCTTCATAATCATATCTCATTTCTGGTATTGTGTATACAGATTTAGTGGTGGTCTCTTTAATATTCTCCAGGATTTGACTTTCAGTTCTTTCCATGTCTTCTAATCCAGGACTGTAACAAGTTTCATCAGTTCCAGAAAAAGGCACTCTTCCAAGGAGAGGAAAAAAAAAACAAAACTATTTAAGCACCAGTATGGCCTTGAAAAACACATCTGGTTCATTCCTTCTTAATATTGAAAAAAAATTTTGATTCTGATCCTGTTTCTATTAAAGCTACTTTGAATATAACTACTAATAAAGAGAGAAATCTTATGTTCAGAGATATACCCCCAAAAAGTTTAATATGTAATTCCAAACCTTTCAATCATAGACACTTGCTGCTCTGTGTCTCCCTGATCTAAGTTTTCACACTCTTCTTGAAGTTCAGGTGAGGGATAGCTGTTCATTTGTTCTGTGGGGAAAGCACAGACACCACAGGTGAGTTTTAAAGTCCTCAAAATCCCAGTATGTTTAAGAAAAAGCACTGCATGATTTTTTTTTTTATTGTTGTGAACTGGAGATTGCATCTTTCAATAAGTAACACATCGTATCTAGAGTGACTGGCACTATGTCCAGGAAAATTAAAATCATGTTAGAGATCAGCTAGGTGTGCTGAACCAACCTTTTATACTTTTGTCTTGCTCTGTAATATGTTATTTATCCTTCTATAGTAACTTTGACATCTCTAAGTACATGCTTCTGATGAGGACTTCAAATAAGTGACAATTTCCTCCTTGATATTCTCCTGTTTGTACTTAAAAGCACCTAAGACATGCTAATCTGCATCAATGTGTCTTGAAAAGTGAGGAAGTTCTTTTTCTGCTCTACAGAGAAGGAATTACAGGAATAAATGCAGTAAAGAGAGGTTAATGGCAAATCTGCTAAACATTTAAACTTGTATCTGCCTCAAAGCCTAAAGCATAAACAGCTCAGTAAATCTGGACCTGCCAACAGTCAGGGGAGAAACATAGGCCTAAATCAGGCATATAGCTGTGCTCTCTTAGTTGAAGAATGGTCTTTCTCTAGTGAAAGTGGAGTCAAAGCCACATATTAAATATAAACTTAAGGGGAAAAAAATACTTAACACTTTGGTCTAAGACACCATTAGAACATAATGCTGTTCTGTCATTCCTTGCACTTCCATTAGTGCCCAGCAGCTGCAGCAAACGAAAGATCAAAGACTGGTTAGCTAAATCAGGACAAGAAACTGAGTGATAGCACATATATACTACCTTTTTCTACACAGCATTTCTCTTTCTTTCCATAACTTTAGCAAACACCATTGCATTCTACTTACGTTGTAGAAGATTTAGAAATGTTCGGCTGAACCTCTGAGCGTACACCATCTCAGCTGTTGAAACCCTGCCCCTCAACATAACTAAGTGCTGGTCTGTGGGGGAGCTTGACAGCTCCATCAGCTGATTGTCACTGACATCACTGCCAAGTGCAAGAGTGAACAAGGTGAATCCTTGGCACTTGGCTCCAAGTGAAATCTCTCCCAGTTTCTCTCTGTCCCACAAGCTTGTTTTGCTCCCAACTATTGCAAATATAACCCTGTGCTTTCTTTGTCTGGGGGCTTTAAAGAATACGTTTTCAACTGTCCACTGTAGGGCAGATGCAATGGCTGATGGCCCTTCCAGTTGGTGAACAGACTCTTGGATATGTTTCTTCATCAGATCTTTATTGCTGTATGTGACTAGATCAAACTCCAAGGCAACAGGGGTCTGGTTTCTGTCAGGCAGGAAGCCCCTTGGAGCCTGCTGCACCAGTGCAACTCTGATGCCTCCATATGATTCATTTGGCTGTGAGGAAACAACAAACTGATCTAGCATGTTGCTCACAAAGTCTTTGGCTCTCTGATAATCTTCACTGCTGATGCTGCGAGAGCTGTCCAGGATGTAAGTGATATCCATATCCATCAGAACAGGGGGAGAAAAAGGCACCTCACAGTTGGTACTTGGTTTGCATTTATCTAGAGAGGAAGAGTCAATAGGTAGCAAACTAGTTAGCAATACAACTAGTTAGCAATAGCAAGCCATAGTTTAGAAAAGAAATTCACAGAGTCCTATTCATCTACTTTATTTTTTTTAATTTTTATTTGAAAAAAAATCAATTTGGGAACTTGGAAATCTTGATGTTCTAGTAAGGAACAACAGAT